GTAATGTTATAACACTTTTTTCTTGTATATTCTTTGGGATTTCAATACACATAGATCCAGCTTGATTAAGAGTCATCATTGACCTATTTGCAATAGTTACAATTGTAGGAGTTATGTTGTGTACATCTGTTAATTGAAATAGATAAGGAGTAGTATGTATTAATGCACCAGAATCAAGTAAATCCATTGTTTGCATATAGGATTTCTTGTTAGCTATGATTGTATTTGTAAATACATTAGTACATACTCAGGAAGCATATTGTTTGAATTGTTTGTCCTGGTTGCTTGGAATAAGAGTGTAGGCATTATTGTTCATTTTAATGTTACCTTCTTTTAATTCAACATTGTTTTTGTTTGGGTTTTCAATAATAAATGTGTTCATTATGTTTTCTACAGTTTGATTCATTTTATGCACAATGTTAGCCTGATGTTTGGCATGTGCAAGCTTTGTAGCTTCAGTAGGAGGTTTGTAGCATTCCTTAGAGAAATGTCCTGTTTTTCTGTAATTGAAACATTTTGCTTTTGTTGGATTGAACAGATTTGGTGGATTGAATTTCCTCTACTTATTAGCTTTATACATTGTATTAATGTATACATTATTCTTTGTCCAATCATTAGAATCTTGTACTTGTTTAGCACAGTAATTGTTGTAGGTGTTCTGTAATGCAAGGATTAGTTACTTTGGTTCAACTTTCTTATGTTCATTGACTGGTTTGCCTTTGTTTTGGGCATCAGTAGATTGTATTATTGTATTTACTATGTGTGTATATTGCTCAGGAGTGGCAAGCAATATTACTACTTTGTATGTAGAGTTGTATGGTGGATCACTGTTAGCAGACAGAGTTGTGTATGCTTCCTCAAGTCTGTCTAATGTATGTCTGAAATGTTTTACATGGTCTCTACAAATAAACAGTGCTGATTTGTTGATAGCCTTTTTATGTGCTGTCTGGGGGTTAAAGTGTTCTTTAAGTGCTTTCATTAACTGAGGGATAGATGTATTGAAGTGTATATAGTTTGCCAATATTGTGTCAGCAATGTTATTAACTATACATGCATGAATGGCCTTAGCCATCTCCCTCTTGGCTTTGTTCTGCAGTTCATCCTTTAGTAAGTGTTTGAAGCATGTAGCTACAACACTAGAAACAATGTAGTAGTGCCACATCTTGTAGTTTGCTTCAGTCTTAAGCATTGTAATGTTTTAACCAAAGTATTTAGGTACATTGGCTGGTTTACAGTGCATATCTGTATGTGGGGAAACCATGATGCAAATGTGTGCAAATGTATGCAAGTAAAGAGTTTAAAGTGTACAGTGGATGTGTGTATGCAGGGAGCACAAGGCTCATAACCTGTTAAGAGGGAAAACTTAAGGGGGGCACACATAGACAAGGGGTGAGGTGACGATTGACTGCTCAGTGTCTCTCATCCTTATATTGTATGTATTCTAACTGAGACATTATGAAGTCATTGTCTTGTGGTTCGTCCGTTGATGAACTAATCATCTCATAATAGAATCCCTGTCCGTTGCCCAGCAAACATTCCTCCATGTCCACAGTTTGAAGAAACTAACGCGAATTTAGTCCCAGTCAGAAAGAGATATTATCGGCATAGTTAAACATACTTTTGATGTATGGACCAGAGCTCTGATACTCAAAATCCGTTAAGGAATAGGCTTGTCCTGTACGGCGGTTGTTGATGGTGCATCCGCGATCATGAAGGACTGGAGCGTAATATTAGGTATCAAAATAAGTACCACCAAAAGCAAGCGCTAACTCACGGTGGTCGAGTCTCATAAGCACTGTTTTGTCTTCGTCAGTTAACGTAGGCTGTTTGGTTTTACTTGTAAGCATTGCCTTTGTCTCCTCTGTCCAATCTGTAGGATTCCCTGCTAGCATATTGAATTATAAAAGTAGTCATGCATCTCGGAACGTTGTATTTACCATTGGATGCAGTGGGCTTCTGGGCTTCTTTGGCTGTGCCTGTCGTACTCATTGCACTGGAAAGTAGTAGCGATAGATTGTAAAGAAAATACTGAACCAGAAGAGGAGACAAAGGAGGCTTTTAATGCACCTTGAGAGCAACATTGCATTTTACTCTGGGCATCTACATTTATTTTATCCATCTGATGAAAAAAGTAACTTTGCAGAGAAAGTATGATCACATCAAGACATTTTTCTGGAAACGTTTAATATTAGACATATGAATAAGTCCTTGGACTGAAAGGGAACATAGCTTTGCAGAACAAATCTGATCGCCATCCCTGTCTTGTTGAGCATAGCATAGTGATATCTACGTCAATCTCGAAAACCATTATAGTACGACAACGTCAAAGGCTGCGTTTTAGGAAGGCGACACACCAGAGTACTATAGAGAGTGAGGCATTAAACAACTCCAGTGATCTTATTATAATCTTACTTTGAGTCAAGAGCAAGAAAGTTCTTTAGACCAGCCCTCGAATTATATGTGAGATAGCCCAAAATTATACAATGGCTCGACTGAGTCCTTTTTTAATTACAGCCTTACTGCTTACACTCAATAGCATATCTCTGTTCCAGAGCCATACTATGTATATGAAGAACAAATATGCTTATTTTAGTCAGAAACGTTTATTATTTATCATACTGGTCTCTATTAGTAGGACAAATAAGCAAGAGTCGACTCAACAAGCTTGCCTGCCATACACTTTACGATTAGCTTAGATATTCACAAACATGCTCTGCATCGATGCCCTCTATGGTGCGTTCTGCCAGTTGAGCAAGTGTTGCAGGTTTGTAGGGTTCACCATGTAGGTTGCCAAGGCCTACCCGACTTCCTGAAAGTGCTCCACATTTACATTTTGATGTAACTGAAGGCAAGTTTGATTTGTTCAGTAAGTTAAACATTATGAACATAATTAAGACACACTCGTGATCTCCGGACCAACTTCACTATATTTAATATCCTTTATGAAAAAGTTCCGTCCTGGACGTCCCGTCGGTCCAGCGAAACTGCACTTCAGATGCTCAAGCTCTACACAGTACGGTCAGGCAAAAGAACAGGAGAATACAATGGCCTGCTCACTGTGATCGAGTTTCTTAAGTTGTCGCTCATCCTCTTCAGTAAGGGTGGGGGGTTTCTCCTTTTTTGCAAGCATTGCCTTCGTTTCTGGTGTCCAATCTGTAGGATTCTCTGCGAACAACTCAGATTATCGGTATGTCTTATGAAATTGCGCATGACGTGCTTACCTACATGCGGCTTCTTGGTTTCATCGTGGCGGTCAGTTTCACTTTTGTGGTCGGTTTCGCTTTTGCGGACTGTCGAGCTCATTTCTCCTAGAGATTATAGTGTGATGTGGTTATGTGGATAATGCTGGGCCCGTCAAGGGGCTGAAGGAGAGTCTTAAATATTGTATGCAACATTGCATTGCACTTCTACTAACCAAACAGGTTGTGTTATTTGAATATGTGCCCAGCAGGTAAGAGTCCATAGGGAAGGACACAACTTTGCGGTACAAATATGATCGCTGATCAGTTGCGACAGACACGAGAATGTAATGTCTTTCAGATCTCAGAAGACCCACAAGAACAAAAAAAGACAGATAACGGAGCTCAAACACGTGTCTCAGGGAATTAAAACTCAGAGTATTGAGATGTGATATAGAAAGCGAGATCTCGAGCTATCCAAGGCCAAGCGATCCAGAATGCTCTCCTGGGCCCGAACGGCGAGAGGCTTTATTGATCTCCATAGCAATTTCAAGTTTTATTCTGAAACATGTTGCCTAGCATTGAACGTTTCTTTGGAAAATCGAGACAAAGATGGATTAAGCTGAAGTGTTCCTGGGGTGAATGTAAGGAACTAGGAAAGGAAAGTTGAAACAGAGTGACATGTGAACGCGGTGTGTAACAATAGCGTGACGTGACGCGCAAGACACTGGCAAGTCTCATTGACTCTCAAGTTAGCGGAACTAGCAACGGCGTCGCTCACTTTGGCACGACTCCCTCGCTATGCCGCTTACTCGAATCGAGCTCTCAGATTTTAAAAGCTACAGAGGACATCATGTTATTGGACCATTCACTCCATTCACTTCCATTATTGGCCCCAATGGTGCCGGAAAGTCAAATCTCATGGACGCCATTTCGTTCGTCCTTGGCGTGAAGAGCGCTCAGCTACGCAGTAGTCAACTCAAAGATTTAGTATATCGTGGGCGGCGACTAGGGAGACCAGATGGCGATGCATCGCAAGCCATTGAAGATGAAGAGGAGGATGAGGAGGATGGAGATGGCGACGCGAAGAAGGCGTGGGTCCTTGCGGTGTACGAAGATCAAGACAAAAAACAATGGCGTTACCGACGAACGTAAGTATCTCAGTCAGGGTAATATATGCTTGAGACCTAATTTCTTGACAGGATTACGACTACCGGCTCGAGCGAATACAAGTTAAACGACCAAGTAGTCTCTGCACAGGCGTATTCCACCTCTCTCGCAAAACACAACATCCTTACCAAGGCTAAGAACTTCCTTGTCTTCCAAGGCGACGTCGAACACATTGCCTCTCAGTCACCAAAGGACTTAACTCGTCTGGTCGAACAGATCAGTGGCTCGCTCGAGTTGGCCGCCGACTACGAACGCGCCAAACAAGCCGTTGATCGTGCAGCAGAGAATGCAACGGAAAGCTTCAACAAAAAACGCGGAATCGCAGGTGAAATTAAAGTCTTTAAGGAACAAATGACCGAAGCGGAGCGTTTTGAAGACCTTGTCGGCAAACGAGATGATTTGATACTGAAACGTTTCCTCTGGAAGTTATTCCACATTGAAGAACAAATTGCGTCAAACTCGAGGGAGATAATACAAAAGAACAAGACGCTTGCTGGACTTCGGCGGGAGCAGGCTGCCCATAACAAAGCTCTGGAAGATGCACGCGCAAAACAGGCAAAAGTACGCTCGGATGTGTCTGCTGCCGAGAAAAAAGTTAAGAAAGCGGAGAAAGCGCTGGAGGGAAAGGTGAGACTTTTCTTGTTGAAAATTTCTTTCCATTAACTTGTGCTAGAAACCGGACCTCGTTGCGGCAGAGGGCAGGATTCTGCATGCACAACGTAAGCTGAAGAATCACGAATCTACGAGAGAAGCAGCAGCAAAAGACGCCAAGAAGAAAGAGGATTTACTTGCAGTCCTGCGGAAGGATTTAGCTGCAGAACAGAAGGCAGCTGATGCTGCTAGAGGTGAGAATAGATCGACTTCGTAGAATTATACACAACTTCACGATTATACAGATGCGGCTCGCCGTGCCTCACAAAAGAACCTTTCCCTAAGTGAAGAGAATCTAGAAGAGTACCGACGCTTGAGGGCACAAGCCAATACACTGGCTGTAGACGAGCGACAATCCCTTCAAGCTCTAATACGAGATGAGAAAACGAGTGCTCGTGCTCTTGCTAGCTTGCAAGAGGCATATACTGGTCTGGAGGAGACCAAGAGTAAACTAGAGACTGAAATTGCTGACATGGAGGATAAGAAGGAGGAGGTAAGTCTACGTCAAATCAGCCGTTCTTGATATTTCACTCTAATCCTGCCTTATTATTGTCGTTAAGGTGGATCGCAGAGTGGCATCATTACAAACCGACTACAGTCGTGCAAAGCAGGAACTCAATAAGCAGCAGGCAGAATTTGCGCGCATCTCGTACGTCATGTCCATTCTTTCGTCGCGGTTGTTATTGACAAAGCCTGCAGACAACTTGAGACAGAGCTCAATGAGAAACTTGCTGAATGCCACGAAAAGCTCCTTCAAGCTGGAGTAGACAGGAAGGAATCCGAACGTGATGCACGTCTTAAAGAGACACTTTCAAATTTGCAGCGTATCTTCCCTGGTCTGTCGTTATTGGATACATTGAACGTGGAAGTGCTTGTGTCTAATCTCATCTACAGGCGTTCGCGGTAGAGTCGTCGACCTGTGCAAACCAACGCAGCGGAAATACGAGACAGCGGTCTCCGTAATCTTAGGTCGCAATATTGATGCTGTAGTAGTGGACCAAGAAAAGACTGCTATTGAATGTATTGAGGTATGCTCTCAGGTGGACGTCCCAAATAAGGCCTCGTGCTGAAGTTCTTATTGCCAGTACATGCGAAACCAACGTGCCGGTCAGGCAACCTTTATTCCTCTAGACACAATCCAGGTGAAGCCGATCAATGATAAATACCGTAGTTTCGCCCGTGGTGCTAGACTCGCGGCAGACGTGATTCAATACGAACCAGCAGTCGAGCGTGCCATGCATTATGCTTGTGGAAATGCGCTCGTATGCGATACGATGGACGTTGCCCGGTACGTTTGCTACGAAAAAGGACAGGAAGTGAAAGGTACGTGATCTGATCTGTGATAGCCATTCCTGAAGCATTTCCGAATGTCATTTCATAGCCGTCACGCTCGAGGGTACAGTTATTCACAAGAGCGGACTCATCACCGGAGGAAGAAGCTCGCATGGAGATAACAAAAAGTGGGAGGACAAAGATATCCAAGGTACAAATTCTGCTTCTTGGTTATTGCTCCACTTCACAACTATTCCATAGGTTTAACACGTGTCCGAGACTCGTTGCTTTCGCAGCTTCGAGACCTTAACAAGTCGAGACCGCGTAGTAAAGCGGATGAAGGTCTCGTTGCTGAAATTACGCGACTGGAGTCGTCCTTAACTCTTGCAAAAGATGATCTGGTAAGTCATTTATTTATGTCAATAGTGAGACGTTACCCCTGATAACCGAACCTAGGCTGCCCTAACTGCGAGTTTGAAAGGCAAGCAAGATGAGCTGAAACATATTAAAACCGAAATGAAGAGAAAGTCGCCTGAACTGAAACAGGTCCGCCTCGTTTTTTCGAGTTCCGGTTCCAGCGAAGGTCGTTTGTTCTTACAATTTGTTTTGACAGGCGAAAGCTAGCCACGCAGCTTTGACTGAGAAAATGGAAGCTTTGGCGTCAGTAGTAAACGGCGCAGAAGACTCTGTGTTCACACGATTTTGTGCGCAAATTGGCGTCGAGAACATCCGAGAATACGAGTCACGTCAACTGAAAGTCGCAAACGAGGAAGCTGCTGCTCGCAGGCACTTTGAAACACAGATAGCACGCCTCACTCATCAGTACGTATCGATCCTGTACTTGATATGAACAATACAACTAAAAGTAAACTAGATCGCAATTTGAAGAGCAGCAATTAGCGACTCTACGCGAACGTCTCGAAGCTCTCGAAGCTGCTATCAACTCTGAACACACTGCCATTGCGACACATGAAGCGGAGAAGCAGGCTGTTCAGGAGGAGATTGATCAGTTACAAGAATCGATCACGGAATTCCAAGAGGAGCTGAAGGAGTTGAATGACTTGCTAGACTCGAGGACGAAAGAACTCGAGGCCGTAAAAAAGAACACGTCTAAAGCAGCTAAGGTTCTCGATCAAGCTCTGAAGGAGATTGCCACGAAGGTTCGTAAATTGCACTTATCCTTCGCCGTAAAGCTCACCACATGCAAACAGAACGACGAGATTGAGAAGCTCGCTTCCGAACGATCATCTATCTACCGTAAATGTCGCTTGGAAGAAATCAAGCTTCCTTTACGATCAGGTAACTTAAGGAATGTGCCGATCGAAGAGGTAAGTCTCGACGCAGGCCTGTCAAATAGAGATGAACTCGAATGAACTTATAAGTCCTTCCCATAACAGAATCTCCGCGAAGAGGTCACCATGGACATCGACGAAGATGACGAGGGCACCCAGAAGCCTCGGCGAGTTCCGGACTACGGTATTGAAGTAGAATTTGATTTACTAGACGATGAAGAGCGGGAAGTAAGTCATCCGTACATATTCTGCTTACTTTCGTCAGTTCTGACTGCCGTAATGAAGGATGCTTCCGCAGAAATGGGATCAACGTATGACTCGTCAATTACCAAGCTCAATTCGGAGATCGAACGTATGGCACCGAATATGAAGGCAATGGACAAGTATGGTTTCCACACCAATTATTTATTCCAGACTATTGACCAGTTATTTAATAGGTTAGACAATGTCCAGACGAAGCTCGAGGAGACAGAAAAGGAGGCTGAGAAGGCCCGAAAAGAGTCAAAGAAAGCACGAGACGACTTCAATGACATCAGAAAACGCCGGTAAGTATTGTCCAACATCTATGGGGTGCCACTCACCGAATTCATACACCTCAGATGCGACTTATTTAACAAGGCGTTCACTCATATCTCTGAGCGAATCGACAGGATCTACAAGGATCTCACTATGGGACCTGCCGCGCCATTAGGTGGTGTCGCCTATCTGAGTTTGGAAGACAACGAAGTTAGTGACTGCCAATTTGCTTCGCGTTCGTTACTTATTCGGATTCCCTTGTTATACAGGAGCCTTTCGCAGGGGGCGTCAAATACCACGCTATGCCGCCAATGAAGCGATTCAGAGATATGGATCAGCTATCAGGAGGAGAAAAGACTGTCGCTGCTCTGGCTCTACTCTTTGCCGTCCATAGGTTCGTTGCATAATTAATACTCCAATAAAGTCTTCCAAGCTAATTGGATATTTTATACAATATAGTTACCAACCTGCCCCTTTCTTTGTACTCGACGAAGTCGACGCAGCGTTAGACAACACCAACGTCGGAAAGATCGCAACGTACATCCGTTCACGCGCGTCCAACTCATTCCAATTCGTCGTCATCAGCTTGAAAGCATCGTTATACGAACGAGGGAACTCGCTAGTAGGTATTTATCGTGACCAAGACGTGAATAGTTCAAGTGCATTGACTTTAGACGTACGTAAACAAGTCAATCACTTTCCATTGATGAGGTCTAACCGTACTTGCACTCTAGCTTACACAATACGGTGGCGACTCGAATCACTAAACGCTTTGTTTTCTGTCCTGTTGCTCTATTGTTTTTGTTCTATGTAAAAGCTATCATTTCTCCTGGCATATTCATAAAATGTAATAACAATATGTAGTAAGTAAGTAAGCATGAATCCGAGTATAAGAGGAAAGATTGCGTGAGAGAGGGATCAAAAATGCATAATAGAGGTATGCAGTAAAGCGAATAACTACTACTAGTACTACTAGAAAACGGAAGAAGCGTGAAGTGGAGAAGAAAACCAGGACGAAATTATACAGTGCAACAATTATACAGCTAACTCCGGATTAATTGTGGTAACTGAAAGAGAAAAGAAAGAACTTGTGGAAAGCGTGAACGTGAAAGCGAGTTGCAGCTGCGAAGCGAATTAAGAAAAAAAAGCGACGACAATTATAGCCGAAGCAAAGAAACGACAAGACGACAAAAAGGTAAGTGTATAACGACGGGGTAGGTGTCTCTGGATAGCAATAACAACAAATATAAACACACGACATACGATATTAGTATTACAGCTAATCCGATTCGTCATCGTCTGGTACAGGTCCAAACGTCGTGCGTCTACTACGGCGCACCTCTTGCTGTTGCTGTTGCGATTGCTGTTGGTGAAGGTGCTTCCGTTCGAGAGGAGACTCCGAGCCAGCCAGAGGATCTCCTCGTTCGGTAGCTTCTGGAGTGTTTCCGAAATACGATTGGATTATGGTACCAGGAGTTAAGGAGGTTGTACCGGGTGGAGCGGGGAATTCAGAGAGTTGGGACATGTGCGAGGCGCTGGATGTTGAATAGCTGCCTCGCGTTGTGGAGGAGGTAGTGGCGGACTTCGGGGGTAGGAGACTGGGACGAGACGGACGATCGGGTGCTATAGACTCGATTGGGGAGAGTAATTGGAGTTCGCTTCGAGGGGTGTTCTCGATGTACGATCCGTGCGCGGAGGCCCGATGCACGTTTGATGCGGTGACAGGGTCTGGAGTGGTAAGAGTAGGCACTTCACCTAAATGATAGTAAATCTCTGCAAATTGCGAATGATCAGTCGTAAGATCAGAGTTGCTACAACTTTAAATCAACTTACCAGTTCCATCTTCCGTCTCAAACCGCTCCAAAATCGACGATGCACGAGACGACTCAACGTCTTCCGGGATAGCACCTTCAGGTCCCGGACTTTCAGCATGAGCCGTCTGGAGTCTCAGTGGCAAACTAGCTCCAGGTGGAGACGACCCTTGCGAAAGTACAGCGTGCAATTCGTCATCACCCTCATCAACCTCAAGAACATCGCTGACATGCCCATGTCTATGTAGGGACAGATCACCACTTAGTACCTGTCGATCGTCCGAATTGCTCCCGTATTCCTCGCTGAGTTGGCGTCGCAAGTTTGTCAATGCCGAGTTACTCCTAGCGAGCATCGGTCTTTGAGGGCTACTACTTTCGCCTCCCGAACTCAGTGTGCGTACGAGCTCGCCAGGTGGGGTTGGTTCACCAGAACTACCACGAGCACTTCCAGCTACAGTTGATTGCTGTCCTGGTCTGTAGAAAAGGTCACTATAATCTTCCATATCATCGAACCTCTTGAATTGACGTGGAGATGCCATTGGTGAAGAATCGAGAGACATTTGAGCCGGAGAAGAGTTAAGCTTGTAAGAAGCGGCAGACATTGGCGTCGGAACCACAAGATTGCCAACATTATCCTCGTCTTGAGAGTTCTGCCATGCATCTCGGACTGAATTATCGTCAGCTCGCGGTGTTACATCTCCTCGGTGTGGAGAACCCTCCCTGAAAATAGGAGGAACGATGAGCTCTTGCACGCCCGACCCCGAACCAAAGTCTTCAGTTTCGCTAGTCTCATCCACTCCACTGGACACTTGCTCCTCAGCTTGCGCCCCACCGGTGCGTCCGCGCCTGAACGCAACGCTGAGCGCTTCTTCAACACCGAGTTCACTATTCCGCTTCGAGCTCGCTGCAGAATACTGCGCGGAGTATGGTGAATACTGGATTTCCTCAGGCATAACCTCGCGAATGGAACCAGTGCCGACATCAGCAAACATCTTCTTTGGCGGTGGTATACTTTGTAGTGGAACCTTGAGAGTTGGCCTTGAACGAGCGTCTGCAGTGGCGTAGGGATGGACTGGGGGTGGCGAGTCTGAACGAGGCCGAGATGCAGCCATAGGCATGCGATGTCGGACACTGACATCACTGAGAGCTGTCTCGTTCATCGCGAAATCCGCCATTCTCGAAGGATGAGGACCAGCATATTCCGCAGGACGTGGCATGTCCTCAGATTGTCGCGTTCCATTTGCGTAAGGGTGGTCAGCGAACTGGAAGGGCTGCTCAATCAGCACAGTGGGCGTCGAAAGAGCGATCCCGACTCCTGAATTGCCCGTTGAGTCGCCACTGCGATTCGAAGGTACTGGAGACAGATTCAGGCCGTTCGCGTTCTGCTGACTCGCGTCAAGACGCTTTGAAGCCTGCGCCGTGATGAGGACAACATCACTTTCACCGGGATCGTTGGGGCTGTCATGGGAACCACCGTGAACATATCTTGTCCGATCCTGTTGCAGTCGGTTATCAAGGGCAATAACCTTCTCGTCCGCTGGTGAGAGATCTTCATTGAAAGCGCATAACCCGGTGGCATTCGCAGTATGCTTAGCACTCTTGATCGCCTTACTCCAACTTTCCTTCCGCGCATGGCCATTACTTCGCGAAGTCCCTGACCCAGCACCTCGACTCGCATTGCTCGTGTTCCGCGAATGCGTAGACGTAGTATTAAGCCCGGTGCTAGTTGTATTCGTACCTGTACCTGTCGCGGTATGAGTTCTAGAAGTTGTCGGAGTTTTCGCGAAGTGTATACTTGGCTTCAATGACTGATTTCCATGAAAAGCAGATGCAGCTATTACATCAAAGCTGAACGGAAGCTCGCTTTCCGCTTCTCCCACCTTGTTCGGTGGTCTCGCTCTACCTTTCATTCGGGACCGAGAAAGTGACCGGGAACGCTTGTTCCCGAATGATCGGGATGCCTTGTCCTTCCATTCGCTCCTCTCTTTCTCGAACGCCTCGCTTTGTTTGAGAACACTACATACAAGCGTTGAGGTCTTGGACAATTGAAGGGGTTTTCAAATAAACTTACGTTGCAAGTGAAGGAACTGGAGATGGTATAGCCAAGTCATCTTGAGCGAACGACTTCGGACGAGGAGGGCGCAAAAATTTGTTGGATGGACCAGCCTCTGGCTGCAAAGGTGGAGGCTGAGGGGCTGGAATCGGTACCGGAGCTACCACTGGTGCAGGCGCAGGCGGCGAGTGGTTATTGGAATATGGAATGATAGGGGGAGCAGACGATGGCGCCTGAGAACCTTTTCGCAAGTCCTCTGTACTTTTACCACCCAATAGACTTCGCTTCAGAGTTCGGGGCTGATATTGTGACTGTGCAGGAGCGGAATAAGGAGGCATGCCAGCACCGGGACTTGCTGGTGGGCTGATTATATGCGCTGTTCGCATGCGGAAACGCGGTCTGGGAAAAAGCAAGGCATCGCACCAAGTCTCGGCGCTCAACCATTTCGTCCCAGAGCTTGACGCACTCCCAGTTCCAGGACTGCCTACACTCGAACCCCCATTTCGTCGCCCACCTCGTTGTCCTTCGGCACGCAGATTTGGTGTCGATACGGATGTCTTGAGGTTACCCGTTGCCTTCCTCAGGTTCGCGATACTTTTCGAAGTCGAAAGGAATGGAACGTTGATATTAAGACCTGGTGATCGACGATGTTGCAGATCCGGTACTTTCAGCTCCGGAACCTGCATTAATTCCGAGTGCTGACGGTGTCCAGTGGGTGATATGGCAGTAGCATAGGGGTGTCGTTGATAGGGAGAGGTTGCGCGGTCCAACGCAGGTCGATCATCGGCAAATTGGTAGCCGTTTGATGGTGGAAAGTGTGTAGAAGACAGTATAGGGTCCGGAGGAAGCGCGGTATTCGCCCGGGGCCGCATGGATCGAAGTGCTGTAGGCTCCCCACCTTGACCAGCGACTGTTGCGGAGCGGTCCCGCATGACAACGGGTCCCTGCATGATGTTCTGATGCGCACCTGCACTTGGCCGACCCTCGCTGGTGGATGGCCGTCCACCAGTGACATGAATTGGCGGGCTCCTTTTGCTTGTGGAGCGACCGAAAGTCCAGAAGCCGGTCGTTGGCTCCCGCGCGGAAATGGCGGGCATGTGAACGGAAGAAGGAAAGGCGTGCGCATGTCCGTGCTCGTGGGCATCATGACTATGTCCAGAATTGGATGCATGTCCGACGCGCTGCATCGGCACGGGAACTTCGCCAATTCTAACGCCCGTCCTATCGAGGTCTAGAAAAGTTGGCAAAGCTCTCCGCCGTGGCGAGATGGGGCTTGTCACTGGCGACGCGAACGCGTGTGAGCGGCGCTCACCAGCTCCAAAAGTTGCTCGTGATTCAGAATATTTAGATACTGGAGAAAGTTGACGACCACGTTCATGCTCTTCATCGTCATAGCTTTCCAGTGTGTGTCCGTGCGCGGACGGACCGCGGTCATATCCGTATCCGTGAACATGTCCGTGTCCGTGTCCGGAAGTAGACGCGCCACCGTGTCCTAGTGCGCTCCGATCACGTTCAAAAGGATCGTAATTTCTGTCACTACCAATACCATGTTCGGTCCAGCTTTCTCTGTCCTTGACTCCACCCATTCCCAGATCCTTCGGTTGCTCGTATGGACCGTTGTACGGAATATACCACTCCGATTCGTTTGCGTCGGTATACCTCCTAGTCGGCCGCGATGGTCCTGCCTGCGTTAGCTGCTTGAGACCCAAGTTCGCTCCAAGGCGCGCCAGTCGAGATAGTGGAGCAGATTGCGAGGGAGATGCGGTCGTGGTCATCTCCTGCGACTGAGGGGAAGAGAGAGAAGGGAGAGAAAGCACTTCAGCAAAAATGGAACAGAAGCAAGAGTACCACCCACGTTGCTAGTCTATTCTAAAGACCGGTGCCGCTTACGACCGCCGTTCGGTGTTCGCAACGACAGACGAGGCCACTGACGACACACCGCGACGCTCTTGAAGCGTCGCCTATAAAACTCGTGCCGTGGTGATTGCCAATGCCTGACGCAATAACTGAGCGCCCCAACCTCGGACGTTTGCCTCCGCCGCACAGAGCCGGCCCGCCAAGGACGATGACAGCGTCGGCGCTGGCGACGCTGACGCTTTTGTGCACGTCTTGGACACGTCGTTGGGAGAAAAAGACCGAGATGGAGGAGAAAAGAGGACAAAGAAGCGTCGGAAAAAGATGGCACGAAACCAGCAACTTTGTTCGAAAACACTCTCTTAAGACTCCGTGCGAACATGTCGCCATTCCCGGACAGCGTCGTCACTTTTTTTTAGTGCCCTCTCCGGTTTCGCATTCTCTGAGACGATGAAACACGGCCATGAACCATCATCTCGATCTGTCTTAGCACTCTCTGGCCACTCAAGCTCTTTGATCTCCGTGCTGCTACACCCAAAACCCGTCCCCATCACGGAGTCCTGATGCACTCCATATCATGCTGACTTTGAACTTAACCATTTGAATTATTAGACTCCCGACTTCGGGCCACTATGTATAAATTTACTCATGCCTGCTGTGTTCAGCGCCTGCTTCGTCATCAGAGAACAGATGGCGAAGGCGATGCGGATACAATGCTATTGTCGGTCTACTAAAGTCAGAACAGCAAGATTATCAGCAAGATATTGTAGATGCACTGTTGTGGCGGCGCACTCGAGGCTTGGCCTAGATTATCACTCGTCGTCACTGGTACTAGCACTAGCCACATCGTCTCAAGCACTGTCTCTGATGTACGGGACCTGCGCGATTCCAATTGCAAAGTCGAAGCGTTCCCTTCGTCCTGCATCATCATCATTGATAGAATATGCTTCAGCAACTCCACTGTCTCCTATCGTTGTATTTTGACTGGAGTGAAGTCTCCGCGGTTGAGCCGGCATCTCAACTATCACAGACACCCGTAGGAACTCATCCGACGAAGCTGATGCTTTCCGCGGCCAAGTGATTGTACGCTTCGCAGTAGCATGCGCTCTCGCTACCGCCGTTATACCGGATAATCTTTCTGCCGCTCGGGATGGTGAATCTTGTTCCTTCACGCATCGGATCGAACTTGTAGAAAGCGGCTATTGGGAAAATCAGTACAAAGGCCATAACCATTATGAGAAAACAAAATTCACACCTGCATATCACTCCAGAGATGCCCCCCAGGATTACCTCGTACATCACCAACATAGACGTCCCACAGTTGAGGCTCTGTTTGGTCTATCTCTTCCTCTGACTCTGTCTCGGCTCTCAGTCGCACTCTCCTCTCAAACTTTTTCTTCATCCAAACGCTCAAGGCAATCGATCCAATAACTGCCAATCCTACAACAACTAACCACGGCTGGAACTTCGAATCACCGCTAATACTTGGACTCCCGTTAGAGCCGTAGGTGGTACCAGAGCCACCCGTCGTCACCGTACGGCCGCTCAGGGCACGGTCGCAGTTTCCCTCCGCGAACATCCGCAAAACTAACCTCGAATCACCACTAATACTCGGACTCTCGTTGGAGCTGTACATGGTACCAAAGGCACCTGTTGCGAGTCTGGGATCCCTCAGGGCCCTCGGGACGCGCACGTAGTTTCTCTTCGTGAACATCCTCGAAAATCGGGCAAGTATTCAAACAGCAAAACAACAGGTTGTTCGAGGGTTTTGTCGTCCATCGTCAGGACGCGCGTCTCGTTAAGAGTAGTGAGTAACAGGAGAAAGAGTAAGGGCGAGGGTAACAACAACTCAAATGACCCGCTCATAAACAACTTATGACTCGACTGTGTGTGTGACTCAAACCGGGCAAGTCGGATTTCCATCTAGAAAATGTGTTTAAAAAGGTGTAGATCAGGGGACTCCGCAGTACCGTCTTAATTACTTCTCAACCACGGGATTGCTTCTCGCTGTCATACGACGGGGTTGCGGTCTTCTGTGCTTGCGCAATCGGTTGACAGTATATGCTCGATAGACAAATATGGTAATTCTATGGTACGTCCCAGGCCTTGTCGAACACAATTTTGACAGGCAAGTTAGGACCAGCAATAGTCAGCCAAGTCTCTCAGATGCCCAGCGAACTTGGAAAGGGATTCCTATGCATTCATTCGGCCGTGCAGGAGGTTCTGCCCCGTGTTCAATCGGTGTCCGTGAAAATGCTGGAACTTGGAGGCAACCTCATGAGACTCAGGTAGGCAGGAACAGAGCTTCGATCCGAATACACATATTTCCTCACAGACAACAGTCGTATTATAGAATATCTTTATGGACCTAGCCATTTGCATATTACAAAACGTATCAAATGAACAAAGCAAAATAAGAATACATAACAATCAACAACAAAAACAAACAGAAAATAAAGCTCGATAAAGATAAAGGTACACAGTACACAATACACAGATGAATAGTCCTGACTAAGTGAACCTGAGACTTGCAAGATGTCCTTCAAAACCCTATTTGAGTTTAGGTATCCCTTCCGGCCTATGTTGCGTCGGGTGAAGCTCTGTCAAAGCAAAAATATTAGAGAGCGAACATATGAATCAATCAATCAAAATCATAAACTTTTGATAGGATGTGTCCTTTGGGCGCAATTCACAATAATAAAAACAAAAAAGGTACAAACACCCACCGATGTCTGGTTGGATCCGTTCACCCGTACTATCCTCCGACCTTACACGCGTTTCACTATCGAAACTCCACGCATAATAGTTCCACGTCGAGTACTCTGCACTTTCATCAAGCCAAGCTGAGCCTGACTCTTGTTCATCCCTCCCAACAACTGCTGGACCTGCGAATGCACCAAACGTAGATCGTGATGTTCGGTCTGTACCGCTATGGCTATGTGTGTGGAAGAGTCGTGGATTTTGGAGGTTGAGCATGAGTCGGGATATTAAAGTCGTTGATATGCTTTTTATGTTTAATGTAATAAAGAAAAGGAAAAGAAGAGGGAGAGAAGGACTTGATCAGTTGCTGAGCTCGAAACTTGAAGAGAGGGGGAATGGACATACACGCTGGTGAAAGTAGTGAAGATCCCTCGGACATGGGGCTGTGGGGTGTTAGCCTATGCATTAGATTTGACTTCTTTCCAACAACGTACTTCCCCGATCTGATGTATTGTAGCGATCATTCTGTCAATCATGATAATAAAAATAGTAATTGTTAGATAAAATTGACACACCACAAATAAGATAATTTGCGAGATGTTGATTATAGCAAAGAATCTGCAACATATAAAGACATCCCGGATCAAAACGGGGCTGAATGATCGCAAGAATTGAATGCCCACATATAATAAGCACATCCTGGTAATTTAAGTCAGTCAAAGTCTCCGAAGACGAAGTTGACTGAGAGGAGCAAATACCGTCACGAATAAGTACATGAAACAGTCCACAATGTTCGAGCCTCTTGATGAGAACAGCTTTTCGTAAAGTAAGGATGACGATGATCGTGTCGAATAGCAGTAAGCTGCCCCAGGCACCAGTCAATCCTTGCGTAACATTATTCATGCTTCGGTGCAATTGATAGAGTAGTCCGACTTACGAATACCACTGGAACTTCGTCAGATCGTTCATACAAAGGAATGAAGAACTACGAACGTCTGTCTCGAGATGAACGGATGACATCCCTTAAATGCTGAGAGATCATACACCTCTATTACTATCGGTGCGCGAACAAGAGCAATCCACTATAATGAAAAGTAAATGATTTTCAATTCACGCTCAAGGATCAACATAAGAAAAGACGAACAAATGAGAAACAAAGCAGAAGAAGCCCGACACTGATCAGCCCTATCGCAATTTTCTTGTTCAATTCGTACAACACATATGTCCGGAGAATAATAATTGCTAATGGAAATTACAGTTAACTTCTTCCAAGGGTGTTATGATTAAAAATGAGATGCACCTGCGATGATGACCTGCACAACGAGTGAGAAGAATTGGTGGTATTTCTGTAGCTTGTTGCACCCTTGCAATGTGAGGGTCAGCAAAACTCCCATTTATTTGATTCTTTAGAAGAAATACACCCTTTTGCATGATGGATTTTATTTCAATGTCGTTAAGATAATAAAAATCATGAACGGATTTAAACGTACTTCTTTGGACCAATTTGCATAGGCTTGGAGCATGACCGGAGCACTACCCACGATAGAGACGTAACGATTGAGAAGGAAGAGAAGTGTGACTAAATTCGATTTCTTGCTCCAGACAAAACGAACTTCTCGACCAAAAGTGAGGAAATAGTCATAATAAAGTATTGCTATAAATTATAGGTTAGTTATCACCGAATTTAATAAAGGTATAGTGATGAAAAAAGTAACTGAATGCAATAACGCCCAGGGCATAGTGCGCATATCTGAATTTTTTTAAATCATTTAATATGAGTATTTTGAGGAGGCAAATGGTTACAAAGTGCGCACATCTGTCGTATTATGCTAGCGGGATCCCCTGCATCCGTGACAGTTTCTGTCATAGTTAAAGAAGCAAGCTTGCACCCATTCAGTGGCCTTTACACATGAGGGCTAGGTGGGAAGATGGGGGAGGTAGTCTAAGCGAGACAGGGCACACTCGTGGATACTTTATAATAAATATGCAGCTCACATGCTTATTGTCCCTAGTTGATCTTATTGATGATCATTTTGAAATTCGTAGTGATACTTCTGTACATTCAAAGCAAATCTAAGCACCACGCTTCGATTGCGTTCACATCCGCTCAGTTGCATTTACTCGAGTTAACTGAAGACGCTCAACGAGTTTCACCTTGACAGGTGCTGGAGATTGTGACGATACAATGTGGTAACTGAGATCCGGTCGCAAACTCTGTATGATATCTGGGGTGATGGAAGGCAACCATTCAGTAGATCACTGCCTCGCTTGTAAAAAGAAGGAAAGTCCAACCTGCGGGTATTTCACAACCAAAGAAATAGAATTCTACACTTGGCTTACAAGCAACACTAATGGACTTTCAAAGAATCAAGCCAACGTGGATTGTACTGAATCTGTACACTCAAAAGTAGGTACAGTGAGCATCTCTACACTTGATTCATTTGTTATGCCAAACAATTGGGGATCTTGCATATCAAGCAGTATTTGGGAAGTCAATGTAGTTGAAACTCTAAGTCATGCAAGTGTGTAAGTCATAGTTTATGAGTGATAAACCGGATGCTTACACATTAGCAAACACTATACAAATGCTCTTCAGATGTGGCTAAGTACCAATCAATAGATTTAATACAGAACATTAAGTGTTAATTTAATTCCTTACATCTCTAAACTGAGATTGAATCAGCTTTGGAGAAAGTAATTTGAAAGCAAGCATACAATGAACAAGACAATTTGCATAAGATTTATCAATAAATGCATGCTTGAAAAATGTTAGAGTTATGTTTGGATTATTCAAAGAGTACTAATCTGAACTTACATGAAGTAAATAATACATAGGAAAGCTATTGACTGAGCACCACACTTTTGTGCAGGGTTTGATGAAGCAATATATTTACATGCAGGATTTATAATTGAATACAAGGACCTTACATTTGCCACAATATGCAAAAATATATGTCTTAGTAATAAAATCCAATACATTTTCATGTTTGTTTTTGAGATGCCGATCCGAACCTTCTCTAGTAGCTTGCTGCTGCCCTGGGAGACTCACCAAGGTTGATAAGGACCATAAAAACCTTGCAATTTTCAAACTTTCTACATACTACTCATTGGCTTGCAAACATGCTGGAAGAACCTGAAAGCATCCCCTTGACATCCAGTAAATGGAAGCAGTATTCGGATCAGAATACACACATTTTTTCATTAACGACAGTCGTTCCATTTCAAAAAAACTGTTTTGGACCTAGCCATTTGCATACTACAAAGATGTGTGTTAAACAAAAGAAAACAAATGGAAAATAAAGCTCGAAAAGGTGTACAGTGTGAATAGTTCCCAGTAAGCAAGTGAAAGATGTCCTTCAAACTATTATAGAAGTTTAAGTACTCTGAATGATACATATCGGTTTGAGTGAAAGTACACTGCGATAGAGGGAGCGGATCAATCAGATTCATAAGTATTGGCAGGATGCATCTTTCGCCACAATTTTCAATACTAATAATTAAAACGCGCACAGGTACTCACCATTGTTCGTTTACATCCGCTCGCCCGTACTATCCCCCGACTGTGTTTCACTATCCGAAATCCACGCATGACAGTTCCACGTTGAGTATTGCGCACTTTCATCAAGCTGAATTCCCACTGAAGTAAACCCTGATTCTTGTTCGTCCTTCCCAACTGCTGAAGCAGCGAATGCATCAAACGTGGATAGTGATCTTCGACCAGTACTACAACACGCATAGAAGAGTCGTGGATTTTGGAGATTGAGCATGAGTCGCGATATTAAGGTTGTTGATATGCTTGTGGAATTTAGTTTAATCATAAAATACTTTAAGTTGGATTCTGAAGGAAAATTTGAAGATAGAGAGATGAACTTACACGTTAGCGAAAGTTGTGACAATCCCTCGGGAATAGGGCTATGGCATGTTAGTGTATGCACATAAGCGATTCTTTGCCAGTGACGCACACTTCCAATCTGATGTGTTATTTCAGTAATGCAAAAAGCCTCGAAATAAACTGCTCGAGCGGTCCACTTACCACAAATGAAATAATTTGAGAGACATTGATCATGGCAAGGATGCTTTATCACATAAAACAGTCAGGTTCAAAGGAGTGCAATTCAAAACGCTAAATGCCAACATATAATAAGCACAGCCTAGAAATACAATTGATATTAGAGCAGGAGAGGAGAACAGTTAGCTCTGAGATGCAAATACCATCACGGATGAGTACATGAAACAATCCACGTCGTTCGAGCCTTTTGATAAGGATGGCCTTCCGCAAAGTAAGGATGACAACGATTGTGTCAAATAGTAGTAAACACCCCCACGCCCCCGTTAATCCTGGGTAATGTTTATTTAAATCTGGTGCACTTAATGGAGTAGCTTGACTTACGAATACCGCTGAAACCAAGTTAGATAATTCAAACAAAAGAATGAAAGCATTACTAACGTTTGTATTGTCATCAACGGATGACAACCCTTAAAAGCCGAGAGATCATACACTTCTGTTAGAAGTGGTGAGTGACCAAGGGTAGTCCACTGTGAGACAGTTATAGTTCAATGTGCATTCAAGCATTAGTAGAGGTAGGGAACTCACGATCGAAAAACAAAGCATCGGAAGCCCAATAGAGGTTAGCATTATAGCAATTTTCTTGTTCAATTCGTACAGTGCATATGTCCTGAGGACAACGATCACTAACGGAAAACACAGTTAGGCTCGTGTGGGGACAATGCGAATTAATATAATTGATACCTGCAACAATGACCTGCACAATGATTGAAAAGAACTGGTGATATTTCTGCAGCTTGTCACATCTAAGGCACCAAGTATGTGAATAAAGGTTCTACTTCTCTCAGTTTTGGAAATAATCATACCCCTTTATACGTGATGAAGCAACGTTAGACGGTTAGAGTCGCAAGAACAATGAAAGTCGTGACATTTGAACATACATCTTTGGACCAATTGGCATAGGTTTGGAGTATAATTGGCACACTCCCCAAGATAGAGACATAACGATTGAGGAAGAAGACGATTGCAACTAAATTTGATTTCTTTCTCCAAATAAGACGGATTTCCCGACCCAAGGTGAGGAAATAATCGTAATAAAGGATCGCTGTAAGTTATACATTCGTTACTGCTAAATTCTATAAAGGTTCGAAAACAAAGGGACTGACTAAGTGCAACGGCAGTCAGGGCATAGTTTGCGTTTCTGAGAGGACGTTTAGTAGCTTGATACAAGAAATCCCGGAAGCGAATAATAGGAAGTGAGCATATGGTTTGGCTGGACGCACATCTGTTGAATTATGCTAGTAGGATCCTCCACATCTGTGACAGTTCCTGTCATGAGTGGATCCATCTTCTTAGAGGGGCAAGCTCGCGCTCATTCAGTTGCCTTTGTGCATGAAAGTGGGTGGGAAGATGGGAAAGGGGGGGAGTTAGTCTGAGTGATCAAGAGCGCTCCTCATGGATGCTTTATATCTGGCTCACACGCACAATGTCCATAATTGATCTTAAACAATCATTTTGAAATTCATAGTGATACTTCGGCACGTGCGAAGCGATCTGAGCATCACTCTTCAGTTCCGTGCACATCTGCTCAGTGGCATGCAACCAAATTGACTGAAGATGGTCAACGAGTTTTGCCTTGACAGTTGCCAGAGATTGCAATGATACGGTGTGGTAACTGAGATGCGTCCATAAATTTCGTATGACATCTGGGAGTGATGGAAGGTAACCATTTAGTAAATCACTGCCTCGTTTGTAAAAGAAGGAAAATCTTGCCCGTGGGCACGTCAATACAAAGAATAGAAGTGTACTCTTACATAATTCATACAAACAGCAGCACTGCAACACTAATAGGGGTTTCTTTTCAAAAATTAATCGAATGTGGATTTCACTGAGTCCGTGCATTCAGAAATAGGTGTGGTGAGCGTCTCCACTCTCGACAGAGTCGATACACTTGTCTCACACCAATCAATTGTGGATATTGCATATCAAGCAGCAATCAAAAGTCGATGTAGTCGGAATTCTGTTAACTGTGCAAATGTGTAAGCCACAGTTTATGGGCGACAACCCAGACGCTTACGTGTTGGCAAACATTGCACAAGTACTCTTCAGATGCAACTAAGTGTCAATTTAATTCCTTACACCTCCAAACTGAGCGTGAATTAGTTTTCAAAGAGGAGAGGCAATTAGTACAGGATTTATTAATAAAAGTGTACTTATACTGTATGGGATGCACATGCTTGATACTGTTTATTTTGATGGGTATGTGTTTGGAAGGACTGTAACATACACTTGATGATGTTATACCTGAGGGTGTTGGACAAAGTGAACTCATTTGTATAAGGAACTTATTGGACGTTTCTACTGTAATTGTAAAATGTGACAGAGGGCTCTGGAAAGGGAAGTGAAGGGAACTAAGTACTACAGAATAGAGCTGAAAAATCCGTCAATTACTGGTCCTGCATGACTCCCTCTGAATTAATACATTCTGCACCCAGTGCAACAAAAGTCCCAATACTTGGCATGCTTTCCACACCAACAAGCCGAGGATTCTGTAGATTCAGTAAGAAGTGCAAAATCAGAGTTGTTGCAATGCTATTTTTTTTAGCCATACAATTACTTTGTAAACATGCATCTTATTTTAGATAGTAGTAAGACTTACATAGTGGCAAGTGCTGTAAAAACGCCTCTCAAATAAGGCTAAATGCAAGTAATAAGAATGGACTAGTCAGTATCTTATTTTCCACTAATAACATACAGATGCAACCTAGAAAGTATATAAGTAGAGTACAAACTATGTCCTGTAATACTTACAATGAATAAGACAATTTGTGCTACATTTATCAGAGAAAATGCACTAATTATGGTTATTGTTTTTTTACTAGAGTTTCATCAATATAATAAAAGTACAGTATATGACAAAAGTATTGCACAAGTGAAAAAATATATATAACTTCCCCAAAACACAATAATATTACACTCTGTAAATTGGTACTTGTAGTCTAGCATTTTATGAATACAACACTCTATAGAGTATTAAATTCCTTTCAAAAATGAGTGAAAGTAGAGAAGAATACAAAAAAGGT